TCTTTTATCAAAGAACCTTTTGCATTACTTATAAAAGGACGCTTGTACTTTCTAAGACAGAACTTTTCAGTAGACCTAATATTTGGCCAAAACAAATAAATAAACGAAATTTTTTTTCTCAAAAAATGTGGACAAAATGATTTTACTATTTGGGGAAACAATGAAAATTTCAGAACTCTTAATTTCAATGCAGAAAAATCGCAAAAACCGAAGGACAATTATTTCAGTTTAAAATTTGAAAATATGTCTAACATGTGTAACATCTGGTCAGCAGCAATTTTTGGGTTAAATTTGGTATGTGTGTGCAAATCGAAATTTCAGATCCTTAGATGCTAAAGACAAATACTCATAAACAGAACCATACTCATGTTACATATTTTATCTTTTTTAAATTGTTTGTCTTTGAATGTGAAGTGTAGAGGTACAATGAGAAAAATGTATTGTCAAAAGTGCCAGAATGTGGCAAAATTTAGTGTTTCTGGTTCTATGGAAACATCTAAAAGCTCGGTAATTTTTAATGAAGCGTTTTGGTAATGATTTTGGCAAAATTAAAAATAAAATATGGTTTTCTAATATGTGATAAAATGTGATAAACGTGGTTAACTTCGGTAATTTTATCAAGTTATCTTAGAGCATAATATAAAAACCATATACATGGTTCAATTTATTTTTTAGTTTAGATTCTTTACTAAATGTTTGGTAAGAAGAACTATAATTTTGAAAACCAGAATTTACGGAAATTCGTTATCATATGAACTCAAAAATAGCCAAATGAATGGTATAAATACAGTACATATAGATTTAATCAACCAGAATTGTGTTTTTCTCACCTTTTTTTTGCCTGAAATTTTTATCACCATTCAGTACGGTAATTTCACCAAATTTTTTCTCTCCGTGTAGTTTTAAGATTAGATGAAAGAATAAAATAAGATGAGAACTGCTTTTAAAATTATAAAAATAAAACTTGTCTAAGATGTAAGAAAATTAAATAATTTACAAATGAAATCAAAATGTTTTAAAACTATTGTTCTATATCATCAGATAAAATATTTTAACATTCGTTAACATTTGTGTTAAATCTGAAAAAAAGTTTTTGTTTGTTTCCATTTGAAAGTACTTTCGATGCATGCATAATTAAAATTCCCTCTCCAATGCATCGTCTTATAAAATCAATTTGTTTTTAAACTTCCAAAATATTCGATGGCCGGTATTTTTTAATGGCTCTAAATCTAAACATGCAATTACTGAGATAAGCATAATTGTATTTCATTTTTTATTTTCAAAATAAAAACTAAGATTTTCTAAGGAAACTCTTTCCGTATTGTTGTTTTTATGTAGCTTAAAAAAACACGAAGGAATTCGTTTTACTGAAATAAAACACACGTTTTTGACGCAAAAAAGAAATAAAAGGAATTACTGTTGCTCTAGCACCTGGAACTAAGCGTTGTAAAAACATTTATAATTCCCCCGAACACAAATATGGGTTTCTATTTTTTTAGATTTTATTTTTTTTACAAATTTAAATTAAGAACATTTAATTAATAAGAAAACGCTTAAATGTTTTGTTTACGAACTAAATACTAGAAGAACTATACATTAATTTGACTCGAGATTTTTTTATTGCATTAAAAAATTTCGTTTTTTTCAAAAAAATTATTATTTTTTTATTTGTCAAAAAATTTAATGATTTATGGGATTTATAAGATTACAGCCATCAAAAAAAAAATTTATTTAAAGAAACTATTTTGGTTTATTATTTCTTTTTATAACTGGCTTTGAACAGCAGACTCCATTTGTTTCCAACTATCAGTGTTCAACTCCGTATTCATGTAGTTTTGAACTCAATCCACAAAACAAAGAAACTTTAAGATCAAGCATTGGGATAAGCTTTCGTGGTGGACTTTTTGATGGAACTTATCAGCATTTGCGTTACATGGAGAGGAAAACCGTGAAAACCACACCCAGTCAGCTCGATGGCAAGGGGATTCTAACTATTGATCCGTTTTTCACTGAGGATACTTTACGTCAGCTCTGTAGTCTGTGCGAACCGGGATCAGAATTCGTATCACCCAGCCATCACTGGGATTCGATCCTGGGTTACCTCATTCGTAGGCGAACGCTCTATCCTCTGAGTCACCGAGGCACTGCGGCTTACGTTTATCATTAAAAGAAAAATACGCTTAATCATGTGTCTTGAGGTAATTGAAATTCTCCGCGTTTTGCGATTATCGATAATTTGAAATGCGCCATGTTCATCAGAAAATTTCCAGGGTTATTTCTATTACTCCACATGCTTTCAGGATAATTAAGAATTTATGAAAATTTGCTAAAACAACTTGATTTTGTTTAGGCTTAATGCAATGAACTTTGTATTAAGTTGCTCTAAATAAAAAAAAATATAGCAGCAAACTAATTGAGCAAGGGATAATATATTTTCTAATTGAAGGAATTAAGCTTAATAAAAAGTCTGAAAAAATTGTCTAATTAAGCAATGAGTATTATTTTTTTCAATTAATCAAAATGTATTTTGAATTATTTTTTATGTTTTTAAGTTAATTAAAAAATTATGAAAATTTACTCAATCGGCTTGATTTCTTTAGGCTTTTTGCACTGAGTCTTGCATTAAGTTGCTCTAAATAAAGAAGTACATCAATAGATAAATAGAACAAGAAATACTAAATTTTTAATTAGATTAAAGGAATCTAAGCTTAATTAAAACACACTGAAATTAATCTGGCTAATTCAGCATTGAGTAATATATTTTTCAATAAACCAAAAAGTATCTGGACATTTCACAACAAATCCAAAATGCATTTCAATTCAATTTTTCAATTTATGATGTTACTTGGCATCTTTGTGTTGGTATATACATTTTTCTGAAATAATTTACTAACGCAAAGAAACATTTGATCAAATCACTATTAAACTTTTTACGCTTGTTACAGGAAGTGCACATTTCATATAAATCCATAAAATAGCAAAATTTTGTAATGTTTTTTTCAAAGCTTTGGTCATTATTTATGAATTTGTGTTAACAATTTTGTTATACAGATAATTCAAAACTGAAAAAAATGTAGGAGATAATCTATTTTTCGTTAAAAAAATTAAATCTGCATAAAAAAAAATCGCAATCCAAAAACTACACTACAATATCCATCCTGCATTTGAAAGAAATGCAGTTTTCATGTGTATTATATTTTTTAGGCAATTTTGTTTATTTAGGGCTGTATATAAGGCAAGACATTTTCAATTTGCTTAAATAAATGTCGATAAAAATTCATTTAGAGAGCAGAACTTTTATTTTCCTGTAGAACGTCAAATTTACTAAATATTTTAAGTAACAGAATAGCTATACAAATATAGTGATTAACTATTTTTTTTCCGAGAGAGACATTTTTACATCAACATGTTTCCAGATATGCATTTAAGATTCCGGAATTTTCAGTAGGTGTAGCACACAGTACACAAAAATATCAATTCAATAAAGCAAAAATATAATTCCTATCCATGTCAAATTTGATTCTTTCACATCAAAAATATAATCAATTAGCTTCACCAAAACACTTTTCTAAATAATTTTAAATTGTGGATTGCTCCAAGCTATTCAATTGTATTAGTATACACTTTTAAAGCAGTAAATATGATTTCAAAAATTTCACTCTTAATCAGCAGATAATTGCATTTTTTTATGTATATTAATCTAATTATTTAGCAATCAATACAAAACATTATGAAATGCATCAACCAATCAAAATACCAGTTAGGAGATAAAATAATATTTTCAATAGCTTTTAAATTGTATTTGTATTTATTTTTAAGCGTGAAATTTGGAGCAAAAAGTATGATTTCAAAATTTAGTCCATCAATGTGCCCATCAATATTATATCTTTATTTCACATTTAAAGACTTTAATTTGTTTTAATGTATTTTTAAAAACTTACTAAACAAGTTAGACAAAACATATCAATCAATAAAAACATCAGTATGGACTTAAAAAATTATGTAAATTGCCATTTTACTTTTTCGAATCAATATTTCTGACAAAAAAAATTTTTTTTTCGTAAAAAGTATGACAAAGTTTTAGTTTTTTTACTTTTTATAAAAATATCTATAAGTATTTTGCTGCAGTTTTTCGCGAAACAGTTTGTTTATTCCTTATGTAGTTGGAAGAAATTTTTACAGATTCTTTTTTTTATTTTTTATCTTGAGTAAAAAGGAAAGAATGCTAGGATAAAAATGCTCTAACGTTAACGAAAAAAAGAAGTCCATTTTGCGCTTCTAACACTGCAGTTATAACTCTTAGATGAACGAAAAAAAATTTTTTGCGCCTACTGAGGTAGAAAATAGAATAAAAAGTAACATGAGTAGTTTACTACTTTAAGATTTAAAAAAAAAATAGAATGCAAGAAAATTTTATATTTCTAATTTTGTTTTCAACCCTATAAATATTTGGAGTTCATTTATTAAATATTCATGAATATATTTTAAAATAAATAAATATAAAATTTGAAAGTGAAGAAAATTTTTATGGTACTTTTACAGATTTGTAAACAAATATGAAATTCGTAGTGATATTAAATATATAAGTAATTATATTGTAAGTTATATACAATTTAAGTAGATATATTAAATTTGTAGTCTTATGACATTTTTAATATTTTATATAAAATATTTGTTAACTCTCCAGAGCCTAGGAGACACTTTTTTATGTACGAAAATGTGTTTCATCGTTAGAAAATCAAAAGACCAAATTTTAATTTTTAAATTTTGTATGATTTCCTCTTTCTCTTATTCAAATAAACGTTTATTATGAAGAGTAACCGTGTCTATTATGTAGACTTTATATGCTTGAAGAACTCGGACGAACTTTTCTGAATATAGAGATTGGTTTAGCAAAAAATAAATAAATGAAGTATCGGGATTGGTTTAATAAAAATAACTGAATTATAGCTATCAGAATAATAGTGGCAAAAAAAACTTGAGTATTACTATTTTTTTTAAAATTTTGGTTTTATTGTTCAAATTTTGAAGAGAAACACAGGATCCATATGGGTGATCTAGGCTTGGTAAAGAATCTATATAGAGTAAAGTGACCAGACGTCCTCAAATCTCGAGTACAGTTCACGAATTTCTCTAGATGTCATCAACATCTTTGAACACAGAAAATGTTTTCAAATTTTAACAAATTTTCTCAAATATCCTCGAATCTGAAAACATGAAATCCTTTTCATAAACAGTCAAATATTAAAATAAATAAATAAATGAATAAATAAATGAATAAATAAGTGAATAAATAAATGAATAAATAAATGAATAATTAAATGCATAAATAAACAGATAAATGAACGAATAAATAAATGGCTATGATAAAGGAGATAAGAAGGCCAAGAAAGAAAGAAAATAGCAAACAATAAATTTTTTCCAGTCAGTTCAATTTACTGAATTAATATGACGATTTTTTTTTTATGTTTAAAAATAGTAAATTAGTTGTGTAAAAAAGGATCGACTGTTACAAGATTCCCCTGATCGAAATACTCAAATTTTTTTCATGAAGATTCCATAAATCCATAGTACAACACATTTTTTACGAATAACTTACAAAGTTATAATGTAAACAAATAAAACAGTTTATTTTTTTAATCCAAAAACAGTTATCTTTATTCGAAATCTATTACATGTTACAATAACAAAGTAAAATTAATAAAATATTAACAATGTGGACACAATTTTACTTTCTCTTTGTAAAAGCCAACATATTTTCTATTTTTTTCGATAGATTCTTGCATTCTGCACAGTGCGTAATCAACAATTTAGGGCTTGATTATAAACCTTTAGCTGTCTATTAGCATCATTCGTCTAATTCACGTAGTTATTTGCCATGACATGGAAATAGCGATCGATATTGGCTTCCACAGTCTGTCACTGAATGGTGGTCTCTTTCAGCTGCTGAAAGGTTTCAAAATATCTTCATTTACGACACAGAATATGTTTTGTTATAAAATATGAGAGCACGCATTTTTATTTTATTACTTACAGAATGACTGCACGAATTAAACTATTAAAAGAATCGACATTTGAATTTCATGCCTAATAGAATGAATCTACTGATTTAATTACTGACAGAATAAATATATATGAATTTAATTACTAACATGCAATATATATAAATATATATATAAGCATAAAAAATATATATACATAAATTGATTTTTTAACAAAATGAAAATATAGTAATTCAATCCCTAACAGAATGAAAATATAGTAATTCAATCCCTAACAGAATTAAAATACAGTAACTCAATCCCTATCAGAATGAAAATACAGTGATTCAATCCCTAACAGAATGAAAATACAGTAATTCAATCCCTAACAGAATGAAAATATAGTAATTCAATCCCTAACAGAATGAAAATATAGTAATTCAATCCCTAACAGAATTAAAATACAGTAATACAATCCCTGACAGAATGAAAATATAATAATTCAATCCCTCACAGAATGAAAATATAGTAATTCAATCCCTGACAGAATGAAAATACAGTAATACAATCCCTGACAGAATGAAAATACAGTAATTCAATCCCTCGCTGAATGAAAATATAGTCATTCAATCACTAACAGAATGAAAATGCAGTAATTCAATCCCTAACAGAATGAAAATACAATAATTCAATCTCTAATAGAATGAAAATATAGTAATTCAATTCGTAACAGAATGGATATATAGATTTAATTCCTGAACGAATGAATATAGGAATTTATAAATTACAGAGTGAATATGTTTGAGTTTTATTAATAAGAAAATGAATGCATGAATTTATTTTTATAGAATGAATATATATTAATTTCATTAATAACAGAAGTAATGTTTCAATATCATTCATATCAAAATGAATGTCTGAATTTATTTACGATTAGAATAAATATATGAATTTCATTAACACCAGAATGAATGTCCGAATTTCATTACTAACAGAAGAAATATACGAATTTCATTAATAACATAATAAATATGAATGAATTTCATTATTACCAGACTGAAAATATAGTAATTTTATTTCAACAGAGCCTGCCTGTATATAGATTTTATTCCTGACCGAATGAATTTATGAACTTCATAAATAACAGAATGAATATGTTTTAATATCATTACTAGCATGAATGAATATGTAATAATATATATGAATTCCATCAACATTAGAATGAACGTATGAACTTCATTCCTAATTCAAAGAGCGGCTTCAAAATTATCTATATGAATATTTAGAAAATCTTTAAATTTTTTGCTATTTTTATATCTTTTTTAAATAAAAGCATATTTTTCGAGTTGGTTAACAATTTCTCGAACTACTGCATTAGTTTAAAGAAATTATATATTGTCATATAACAATAATGAATGTAAATGTGGTGAAGTTCAAATTGAAGTACAATGAAGTATGCTAATATTCTAAGGGAATTATTTTTTACCCATCATACCAGAGTGAGTATTAGGTTTGTAGGTGTGAGGAGACAGATATGACAGCAGTTGTTACATTGTGTTCCTTTTGATACGCCCCCTCTTTTTCTATTCCCCCGACCCCGATGTCAACTGCCACGTGTGCTAGAACATTTCAAAAGCTCAGTGTAGCGTATTATTATTGCAGTCACCATGTGTTAGATTCACACACTTCCTGTAGTGTTGAGGAAATGAATAATCCCTTATGATAATACTTAAATAATGAGTTCATTTGTGAACTACAATCTCTACAAGTTTTTCTAATGTAAAAAGTATTTCACAAACTTTAATGTGGAATTACTACAAAAGAGTAATAAATGTATTCTTTAAAAAATTCATTTTAAAAGCTTTTTTCTTTGCTTACATAACGAGTTGAAAGTGTTTGTTATCCTTTTATTTCGGTTTGTTTATTTAAAACAGATACATTTATGTAACTTTTTATGTTGTGGTTTCTTTACAAATAAAATTTGCTTGTGTCGAGTGTGTTTTGAGAAGAGAGGCGTATCCTTTTATTTCGGTTTATTCATTTAAAAGAGATACATTTATGTAACTTTTTATGTTGTGGCTCCTTTACGGATAAAATTTGCTTGTGTCGATGTCGAATGTGTTTTGAGTAGATTCACGTATATTTTCATTTCATTTTAAAACATAAATCGGAGGTTTCTTTTTCAATCAGTTAGATATTAATCTTGATAATGTTACCTTAATTAATAATCACAATAATTGCGTGTAAATTAATGTGCATTTTTTCACATACTTTCAATGTGGTCTCAATGCAATAATAGATAGGTATACTCCATAAATATGACATAAAAACTTTTTGTACAAAATATAAGATAGTAATTTTATAAATAAATACATTTCAAAAGCAATGCAGCAGTAATTGATGGGAGGATAAACAATTTTTTTTGATAGGGAAAAACTCAATGTTTTAAGTGAAAGGTAAAATTCACTTAACAATATCCGAAATGCTAGGAAAAAAAAAACGCTCTAAAAAAATTGTGAGCGCACGCTCCGAAAAAATAACACGAGTTACAAATAAATCTATTTTTATAAGATATTTTTAAATAACCGGTATGGCACCATACTGGAAATTTTAAAAGCATTATGGTACTATACTGAAAATTTTGATAAAAGCTTTCAAATATAATGGACAGTTTGAAGCCAGTATAAGATCGTACCGGAAATTTTAATATCAGTTTTCAAGTCAGTCAGCATTCAAACTGGAAATTTGGAAGTAATTTTAAATTACACTTGGGAGCATTTAATCAGCATACTAGCTTAAATTCTAAATAAGTACATACTTTTCCGGCAACCAAACATGTTTTGTAGTCTTCAAACTCGCTTTCTTTGTTAATATAATTCGTCATTATTTTACAACTTTTTTCTTGATAATATATATTAATTTTCGATAGTTAATTTCTAATAAATTTTGATAATGAATTTAAACATATATATTAAGAGTGATGATTACGAACACTTTCAATGAATAATTTTTACACAAAATATATGTTTGCCTTTACTGGAATTATTTTATAATTTTATTACATCGATTGGTTCTCAAGTAAGATTTTTACGTTTTTAAATTACTTTCAAATCTGCATAAAGTTAGATATTTAAATAAAGGTAATTTATTATTAAACTTTTTTTTAGTTTATTATTTATTTAATAATTGTTTGCCTCATATATTTACTTACTTACCATATTATATAGCTAAAATTTACGAATTTCCTTCTTTTTTTTCTTTTTAAAAATGACGATTTCATGTCTCGACTCCTTTTACGAATATTACAGTTTCAGTCAATTGCCCACCTCCATTTTCTATTTTTACGAACTTAAAACTCGAAAAACGATACATACTAGGATCGGAGTTCTGTGTTTTTATTGTATCATCAAAAGCGACTGTAAAACGAGACTGAAAAAAAAAGTAAACATCGCTTTCCATTGAAAGTTGAAAGGCAACTTCTCGCTTCAAACGATTTTTACTGTTTTTTGGACGGTTTTGTGTTGCCAAGATTTTGGAGGATATATTTCTTTTCGCAAGACTTAAAAATAAAGCTTTTGTCATTTCGACTTTACAGCTTTTCTTTCACGTCTTAAATAAATTGGTAAGTGACTCACCTCCATAAAATCCGTTCTTGTGGTTTGGGGAAATAATAGGAAGCTCAAATAAAAACAAATGGCATTAGACACACTTTAATGATTTTAAAAAACAATATTTAAAACTCTTTCTTTTCACACGATTTCTTGGAACATAAAAATCGTATTTTTAACACGAAAAAAATGTAAATAATAATTAAGTGATTTTATCCCAGTATGCATTTTTTAGAACATTATAAGTTTGAAAAAATTTATATATTTAAAGCACAGAACAGAAATTTGAAGAGTTCTATATTTTATTCTTACTTTTATCCAAGAAGCTAATTTTATTTTATTACCGGCGTTGAGCAGCTAATCCAATTGTGAGTTTAGACTTTTAATGTTCAACTTGTAATTTTAAATCTAACTTAGCAAGCATGGAAACTCTTGGATAAAGCATTGGGGCCAACTAGTATTCGTGTAGGACTTTATGATGGAACTAATCCGCGTTATTTGCGTTACGTGAGGAGGAAAATCACGAAAACCTCACACGGTTAGTCCGAAAGCAAAGAGATTCCAACCCATGATCCATCAACCACTAAGCATATTTTACGTCAGCTCTGTGGTCGGTGC